CCCCCCCCCCCCCTTCTATTTTTTGCGCTGTATCCTTTGTTGCCCTCAGGTGTCCTTGACAAATCTCCAGGAGAAGCGGCTCGTCGTCTCCCGCATGGAGGTCGTGCCCCCTTCGACCTCTTCTTCTTCCTCATCCACCACCGCACCCGCAGCAAGCCCCGCTTCCCCGACCACCGCTGCCGCCGCCGCGACTCCCACGGCTTCTAGCGATGGCGGCGCCGAGGGCACGGTGACTTGGGCGACGCTGCCGAACGGACCCGTCCTGCACGACGACGATGCCGCAACGGCGGCGACGGCGGCGAGCGGGGGCAGCGGTGGTGGCGTTGTGGCTCTGCCGGGTACCGGCGACACCTACACCTGCTGCTTCACGGCCAAGGGGGAGGCGGAGCGCCCGGCCCCTCTCGGAAAACTCAGGGTCACGTGGAGACCGGACGATACGGGGGGAGGGGATGGCCCGACAACGTCCCCGGCCACCGGGGGAGGGGAGGCGGCGGTAGGAGGGGTGACGGAGTTCCCGCTTCCTGTGCTGACCGCTCGGCCGCCGGCGCTGTCGGCGAGGTTGAAGGCTCCGCCCCACGCGCGAGTAGGGGTAGAGTTTTCGATGAGGTATGAACGGCCGTTACAGTAAGGGGAAGACCAGGTCGGGTTGGGGTAAGCATGTAAGCCTGAGTCTCAACAGAAATAGGGTGGGGGGACGGGAGGCTTGAGTGGGTGGTCCGTACTTTTTTTTTCATCTGTTGTCCTTTTTTTTCTACTGTACTTGTTTTGCGAATATGGATCATCTGATGGAATGACTACGGTCACGCATGACCAGCGAACTCTAACCCGAAGCCCCCTCCCCTCGCCTTATCTTTTCATCCCGATTGTCGTCCCTTCGCTCTCGTAATTGCAACCCTTCCCGTTGCTGGACCGCGGCACCTCCCGACGAATTTGTTGAGTTGATGTCAGCTGGGAAATTTCGAATCTCACGGCGGTTTACTCTGCCATGCAACTCACCACGGAAGACGGCGGCGATTTTGTCTGGAGCGGGAAGCGTTTGTGCATGCTGCAGGTACCCGATTCAGCGTAGTTGACTGGCTCGACACAGACTAAGCAGCTTGACACGACCTGCGCAGTTTTTTTTTGTCGCAAGTGTAGGTTCTCCCACTCACGTGAACCTTCAAAACACGTACGGATGTGTGGGAAAGGACGTTCTTGTAGCTCATTCTATTCAGTTGGCTCCGGGTTTCGCACCGGCATGATACAGGGAAAATCGAGGGCCTGCGCTAATTTGCGTTGCTTCCATGCGGCAGGGCCCTTCCTGCCTCGGGCTGAACATGACCCCCTTTGGCCGTATTGAACTCGTGTTTGGCAGGTGGCGCCGATGGAGACGGTGTCCGTGGTGTACCGCTTGGTGCCCATCGTGCCGGGGCACGTGCTACTGCCCAAAGTGGCCGTCGTGCCCGAGCGGGAACAGGTGCGCCCAGTAGAGGGAGATCGGCCATGAGGGCGCTGCATCCAGCGCCCTTATTAAACAAAAAAAGAAATGATTTCTTGCTGGATGTTTGTTCTTGGCTACTTTTTTGTTCCCCTACTGCTGGGTGTATGTACGCTCTTGTTGTAGGGCAGTAGGAGTGTTCATGACGAGGAGAACCGTCCAACCTGAAGCCGGACGCGGCAGACTGCTCGATGTGCCCTAAGGATGCAGCGTTCGTGTTTGTGTGTGTGATGGCAAGTGCCACCCCTTGCTGATTGGGCCAACAAGGAACAGAGAAACACGCGGGGCGGCGGGAGCCATTTTTTGTTTCCTTTCGGAAGCACAACTACAGATGGCGGTTGGCGGCAGCAACCCTTTCACTCGGATAAGGATAAATCCGGCAGGACGGGTCTCGTGTAGGTTGCTACAGTAGCTCCTATGCTACCCTTGCTGCTTGTATGGTGCTTGGCAGCCTGAAGTTCACCCTGGCATGGCGGCTTGACAGGCGTGGTCATGCCCTATTATTATGGTCTAGTTTCAAAGAAGTGTCAGAGAGCTTAGCATGTTTCTTTACAAGGATGGGGGCATAGGTGGCTACACTCGCCTTTTGTTTTTACCTCTTTCGTTTGGCTGTAAAATGAATCATACCGCTACTCTACCGCTCGCTTTTCTATCCGGTACGACAGCCGCCACATGCACAGTGTAGTCTTATCCAACTCCAAAGCGAGCGTATGATATTCGGTCGCAGCGCCGCTGACACAAAATACTGTCTGTTCGTGTGTACCCCTCTTCCCCTTTTCACACTGTCTCCGTCCCTCCCCTCCACGCCCCTCTCTTTCTTTCTTGTCTCCGTCTCTCTCTGTCGCTGTCCTTGTCTGCCTGCCTGTCTGCCTGTCTGCCTGTCTGTCTCTCTCAATCTCCCTCGTCCGGGTGTGCAGATTAACATTATCCCGGACGTAGCGGAGGGACGGCCCCACATTTTTGTTCAGCCGTAGAGGCCGCCGTCTTCTGGAAGGGACCGTTGGCGGGAGGTGGTACTCCCGTCCGCCTGTGTTGTGAGGGGAGGGCATGGTGGTGGCAAGGGAGCGTTGTATGTTGGATGTGTGTTGTTTGCGCATTTGTTGAAAGGGTTTCCTTTTCAGCAACAACGATAGTCGTCCCCCCTGCCAGTTGACGCTAATACAATCACTGGTTTGCGTTGCACGCAACGTGTCGCTGCCTAGGTTTTGCTCGTTCTCTTCCTTCGTTCTCTTTTCTCAAGCCAACATACCGGCCGGTATTTACGTAGTCTATTCTCTGTTACAGCCCGTTGACTTCCTGTTGTCTGCATCGCCGTGTTCTTTGTTTTGTCACATGCTTGTCGGTCTCTCGTTGTTCTCGTTTGATCTGCTCGCCGAAGACTCCCCGTACGTCTGATGTCCCGATGGTTGTGTTTGGTCGGCTGAGATGCCGCAGTAGGTATCGTTGCTCTTGTATCGTCAGCTACAAATTATCAACTCTGTCCAATCTCGACAATTGCGGATACGAGTTCGGTGGGCGCTGCCTGTTTTGAGCGTACGCTTGCTTGGTTCGGAATGAACGTCTAACTGGTTAATTGGAGTCCACAATGTACCATCACAGACGGCGTCCTGAACTATGTACATGTATTTCAATGGCAAGCCCGCTACAGGCTCCACGTGGCGTCCTTTTTTCGTGAACGAAGCAGTTATCTTATCCACGAACCGCTGGCTCCATGCAGCTTGCTGCTGTCCGCCGTAAACCCGGTGCTCTTCACGGGTATCCACGTTACAGCCTTCAATCGCTGTCTGACAAGACTGCGGGCGCCTTTTCTCTTTGCAGAAAGACTCAAGCGAAAAAGCTGCAATGTTATTGGTCAGTCAGTTTGCACACGAAGCACAAACTCAACCACCACGTTCAACTTGGATGCACTCTATGCACGGGAGAAGCAACGCTCGTTACACTTTGACGGGTGGCCTATATTGTAGTACGCACCCTGCTCTGCTTCCAATTGAGAGAAATCGCCATTCTTTGATCGTCCGACACGAAAGGAGGAGAAAAACGCAGAGGTTTGAGAGGGGCGAAGTTGTGGGTCAGACAGACCTTCTTGTCCCACACTCTCGCGCTCTCTCCCTCCCGTTGAGTTGTTCTCGGCCTCTGCCATGGAACTGCTTGCCCGCTCAATAGTCTTTTTTTCGTCCACCCGAACCCCGTACCACTCACGCCTTCATGATGAATGCCTTGTAGAACACCTATAACGGGAGGTAATGGGATTATTGAGTTGCACCCCACGATGCCCCCTCGGCCAGCCGCGGACGTTCACGTTTTGTCTTGGTGCAGTGCAGTTGTGTCGTTATGTCGCTGTAAGACGGCACCCTGGAACTCTCTACAGGCTGTGCTTGTAGTTGCCAGGGCCCATCATTCTACCGAAGGAACAGATGGCCTGGCAGCCCAGGTAGCAGGAACACTGACCGCGGAGCTTCCCCGCAAGATTTGTTCTCGATCACGCACAAAAACATATACTTAAGCAGCAGACAAGCTGCAGCAGCTGCAGCACGCAGCAGCGGCGATCGAGGAAAATGGACCCTCCTCGGCATGGAGACTCCAGCAGCAGCAGGCTGGAGTCGAGATATCTCCTCGTTCTACCGGTGTTGTTCTATGAGTTCCTGGCGCTGGCGCTGATTAGAGGTTTGTTGCCCACGCTGATGCTGGACTTCTGGGGCAAGTGGACGTACACCGTGATCGGCGTGATCGACACGGGCAAGGGGTGAGACCGGCATTAGCAACAACAGCGGTGGCACATTTGAGGGGAATGCGTTGGTGTGTGATTGCGTGTGTTGACTCTTTTGAGCGTGCGTCGTCTCTCGTCGATGTAGAGGTCTGACAGAATTGTATCTACATAGAAGTACGGTCCTTGGCTCTGTTGGAGAAACTCCGCCTTATCGAGTTCCGCGTACAGTGTACGGGGAAGCACATACCTACATGTGCCTCATATCTACGGTACTCACGACGTGGGCCGCTCGCTCTGGTTTCTAAGCCGACATCTGGTGGTTGGTGCGATGCTGCACTTCTTATTGTAGTTCGACAGCAGTGTGCAGTGTATGCCTTGGAAACAACCAATAAATCCACTTTTCGGAAACATGCTCCCTATGTCGCGTAGTCTACGGTATATATTAAAGAGAAATAAATACACGCACAGAAAGACTACCCATTCGAGATATCACCACAGTCGAACGGGATGTGGTGGAGTCTTTTCAGTAAGTGGAGGAAAACCGGCTGGGTACTGGACTTAATTATTTCGAGTCTTCATAATATATTATTGTACTCCGTATGCATCTGCTTGTTGCGAATGAAACTACAGCAGTAGACTAGTCACTCCCCCCCGGCAGTCGCTGAAGAACCCTCCTGCGCGCTCCCCCCCTGGTTGCTAGTGTGTGCATTTCGTGAATATGCTTTGGTTGGTGATTGTCATGCGCTGCCGCAGGTTGCTGGCGTTCGTAGCGTGCCCCATGTTCGGGAGGCTCAGCGACGTGATCGGTCGAAAGAAGTGCCTCTTCGTGACGGTGCTGGGAACGGCCTCCCCGGTGATAGCGCTCTGCATCTCCAACAACCTCTGGATCTTTGCCGGGGCCGCGGCCTTTTCCGGTACGCTCAAGCGAGCAGCAGCAGCAGTAGCAGCAACAGAACGGTGTAGCTCGGCGAGAGGCCTAACTTGAATGATCCTCTTGCACCGCCATGACCTGTTTGAACCGGCTGTTCAAAGTTGTACCTCCGTGTTGCGTGCGTCTGGTTGGTGTAGTCCGAGATAGAATGGACGCCTGTTGTTCTACGGCTAGCAGCATCAACTGCACATTCCTGAGGCCCCCAATTGTCGCGTCGGTCTTTTTATGGAGCGGTTTTCCGGGAAAGGAGACATGTTTCAACAGACAAGGAGCGACGTTATTAGAAGCCTCAATCAAACCATTGGACTAAATAGTCAGCGCTGACTAGTATAGATCAACCGTGTGAGCAAACTACTGTTAATGGTTTGATTTCGGCTTCTTCCTTAAAAACCACCGCCAGATCTGTCCCTCGTGAATTTGTAGACCAATCGCAGCACTTGGTTGGGCGCGACAAGCGGCGTACGAGCCCGCACACACGAAACGTTCCGCGCTGTTCTCCCTCCCTGCACACACTGCCTCTCGTGCGCCGCTTTGATGCCTGCGATTGTGTGGTTTTGCTCTCTTGTCACAAACCATCTCATGTATGGCAACGGCTAGCTCCGTCGTTGATTTTTTCGTTTGCCCTTGTATCGTGTTTTCGCCGTCGTCGCACGTGTGCACCCAGGATGCTTCGCCGCGACGTTTCCGCTGGTGTTCTCCTACATCGGAGACCTCGTGCCCCCCCAGCGAAGAGCACCCGCGTACGGCCTGGCTCTGGCGACGTTCGGCCTGTCATTCTCCCTGGGGTAAGCAGTAAGGAGTCGTGCCTTGGACGACCGTTTTGCTTTTGGTTATCCTACCACCGACACGAGTTCGATGGGGTGTTGTTTAGCACCGACGCGTGTGTTTTAAGTGATGGTGGGTCACTTGGTTCTCTACCGACCAGGTATACGCAACAACGACACACTCGTGTCACAAGGTCACCCTGCTGCGTGCCATAACCCTCGCATGCGGCAGGCGGGATTGGTAGCAGTTGCTGTCGCGTCGCCTGTAGGAGGCGCGCCGAGACCGCAACCAGCCTTTGACCCTTGGCAGAAAAGTTGCCCCCCCCTCCCCTTGAAACCTTGCAGAGCGCAAAAACAACACGACTGTAACCAACAAGCAACGCCCCCCCCAAACGGTTGTCGCAGGCCGGCCATGGGGGCGTACATCGCTCTCCATCACGGAAACGGAGCCGTCTTCCTGTGCTCCGTCCTACTCATCGGCATCGACCTTGTTTTCATCGCCGTTTACCTGCCGGAGTCGCTAGGGGCGGGGGAAGAGCTGGAGTTTGAGGGGGCGGGGGGGGAGGAGGCGGGGGGCGGGTTAAGGAAGGAGTTGCAGCGTTCGAGAACAGCGTCGTACGGCGGCGGGGACGCGTTGGGCGCGTTCCAGGTGAAGTGGCGGGGGACGGCTGCGCTTATGGTGTGTTGCATGGAAGGAGTTTGTGGTAATCGATAAACTGCTCACTGGGTGAGACGAAGCTCACGCAAAGGCATCGTAGTCAAAACCTTGAGCTCCTCTCACGCGGTAGGGCGGGGGAGTACTCATAGTTCTGCATGCTGTAGTCGTTAGACCATTGACCTCGCATCCCTACAAAGCCGGGACGGAGCACGCCGGGTTCTCACCGGACCAGGCTCTCACGTCACCAAGCGCGAAGCGACGTGAGGTATTCGGCGAGTCGCATGAAGGGCGCGCTGCATCCTGCTAAGGGTGTTCGGCATCTTGTGCTTACTTCCTTGCGTACGGATGTACGGATCAGCTGCGCATGACTTAATGTATTTGCTTTCACTTCCAGAGACAGTTGTAAGCACTGTGTAACTGCCTCGAGGGTGCTTGACCATTTTAACACAACGTGGTGCGATCATCCCCCTTGCGCGGAGTGAGGGTTCTCGACCCCGCACAGCATGATCTACTCGACCACCATAATGGTTACCGCCAAAAAAAAAACGGAGGTAAAAAAAAAACGGTAACCTGGTTGCCGAGTTGGCTTGTTTTACAACGTCGTTGCCAAGCGACGAAAACCCCATCCCGTAGCAAACACCGAGGGGGGGCGGCTTGTTTTACAACGTCGTTGCCAAGCGACGAAAACCCCATCCCGTAGCAAACACCGAGGGGGGGCGGCTTGTTTTACAACGTCGTTGCCAAGCGACGAAAACCCAATCCCGATGGTAAACACCTGTAGGGGAGGGTTTCAAAAGCGATAAAACCTGACGTGTTCTTGGCAACGGGAGAAATCTGGCCCGCAAGTATTCGCCAGATGGGCTCGACTGTCATTGTTGTTGTACTTTTGGTTTGGCAACGAGAAGGAGCGTGTCGGCCGTCTCCTCGAAAAGGGCGCATCTTACGTACTCACAACACAAGTATTGTCTTGGGCGGGACTAGTCAAGCTCTGGGTTGCAAGCGGGTCACTCACTATCCGTGTATTCCGGCCAGATGCTCGCCCTCCTGGTGCCCTTTCCGACCCCCCTCACATTCGCCTTTAAGCTCGACTGTACATCAACGGATTTCATACTCGTTGAACCTGTAGCTTCGTGTGCTGCCCTTGCTGAAGTTTCCCGTGTGCATCTCCGTCCTGACCTCGCCCCGCTGCTTGCGTGCTCAGTGGAACCCTCTGGCGTCTCTAAAAGCCTTCTCGGGAAACCCTCTCCTCAAGACGACAGCCAAGATAACGCTTCTCTACTACACTAGCGTGTGGGCGGTCGTGTCCACCCTGATGGTTTACGTCGCGAGACAGTTTCAGTTTGGGCCGGTCAAGGTGAGCAATTCGGCGCCAAGTTCCCTCTCTCTCTTCGTCACAAGAACAACCGCCAAGCACTCAGCGAGCGTCACACAAAAATGTCCGAAAGCCCTTCGGCGAGTGTGTTCGTTTGCGCGAAGCTAGCTTTCGTCAAAAGCCTCAAAGCAAAGAGACTAGGCAGTAGGCCCTGGTTTTCACGCCGACAAGAACAGCCTGGCGACCGTCCCTCGATGCTCAGACGACACAAGCGAGAGAGCCTTGTAACGGTTTTGGTTCTCCGTGTGTAGCCGTGCCGTTCAAATACGTCGATCTGCGTTCTGCTTGTGCTCGTTTCATTCGCTTGGCGGCGGCGCCTGCGCCGGCGGCATCCCAGATCGGGCAACTGCTGAGCGCGTTCGGCGTGTGCACCATGTTCGCGGAGGGCGTGCTGGTGAGATGGATGGTGCCGAAGCTCGGGGAGAAGCTCACCCTCCAGATCGGGCTCCTCGGCTTCGCGGCGCAGTGCGTGCTGCTGGGCCTGGCGCACTCGGAGTGGATGGTTTTCTTGAGCATGGGCGGGTGAGAGATCCAGCAAATACTTGTCGCTGGCTGTTTCTGTCGTCCCTCGACCGAACCTCGTGTATCGTGTATTGTATGTCCTCGAAGCGATTGTGTTTCCCCCTAGGAGGGAGCGCGTTGCGTTGCGGGGTGCCACAAGCCGAAGACTACCACAACAGCTGAATAAGCACCAAAGGGCACACCCAAGTCGTGCCACCCACCCAGAACATATAGAACTATTGTTTTCGTCGCGTGGTGGTTCATGCCAAACCCGCGCCCGGATTATTTCTGCTGTTGGCACCGTGAGCCATTGTAGCAGCTACCGTCGCTACTTTCGAGGGTGGAGGGGGGTGGAACCTTGTGATTGGAACCTCCTTTCTCCATGTGGTGAATGCGGGTAGTTGCTGATGTGTGCGGGGTCATTGCGGAGCGACTCCTGGGTCCAGCGCGCGCGTCTATCTTTTTTTGTCTCAAACGTCGAATTCGACGTCCGACTCTCGTGAGTCTTGAACCCTTCGTTTTTTCTGTTCGTTGGGCAGCAATCGCCCCCGCTCGTGCTGCGCGGTGGACGATGAGGCGCACTAGCCATCGCGTGATCCAAGTATCGATCACATCGCATATCATGGCGTGATCTATCCACCGCATCGCAAGACTTCTAATAATACATACTACTGCTGATTGTAGTGTCGTGTTGAATTTCGACGGAGGACGTTTCCTTGAGCGCCCCCCCCCCCTCCCCCCCCACGCGTGTGGTCCTCCACTTGGCTGTCTATCTGTCTGTCTGTCTGTCTGTCGTTGCTTGTCTGGAAAAGGTCGTTGCTAAGCAACCTAGTCTACCCGTCCATCTCGAGCCTCATCTCCCGGTCGGTGGCCACCTCCAAGCAGGGGGAGGTCCTCGGGGCGATCAACGGGGTCCGCGCGCTCACGGAGGGCTTCGGCCCCCTGCTGTTCTCGTGCCTGTTCTGGTACACGGAGGACACCCTCCTGCCCGGGTGCCCCTACCTGATCGCCGCGGTGGTGTGCCTCGCGGCGCTGCTGCTCTCGTACGAGATACCGGACGCGATCGACGACGACGACTCGGGGCTGCTGCTGGGCACCTTTGGGAAAGACTTGCCGGAGGGGGGGGAGGGGGCGGAGGAGATGGTGGCGCTCTTGGCGTCGGACGGAGATTCCAGTGACGATGGTGGAGGTGGCCGTGAGGAGAGGGAGGGGGCACCGAGAGGGGGCGGTGCAGCATCGAAGCGACAGGAGTTGTGAAATCGGCTCTTGTTGGTGTGGTATGTAGTCGCGTGATCTGCGGTGGTTGGGAAGAGGGTATAATCTGGGGCGCTGCTGACGTCGGCGGTGCAGTTTTTCAGCTTTCTTTGTTACGGTCGAATGTACACGCGCAAGGCAATCTATTGCACACCAGCCAGCAGCGACAGCAGCAGCGGTTTCGTTGATTCTCGATCTCCCTATTGCTGCTGTTTGGTCTACATTCTTGTGTGTAGCCTGCGTCCATATGATCTCATTCGATGCTTGTTCCAGGTCCTACATAGTTCACAGTTTGTCTCCCATCATCATTTTGACGACTCATTGAAGAATTGCCTGTGTTTCATCACAACTGCCAGGCGCGACGCCATGTATTCTACTGGAGTATTTTTTAGTCCCCGAGCGATGCAAGCACCAGTCCAGGCTAACAACAGCGAAACGTGTGCCTGATGTTGTGGCAACGTGCATGTTCTTCGCCTGGCATTCGCCGCCGTCCCCTACTAGCCGACGAAAATCGCACGCTCGTCTGCTCTAAAGCTGTGGTGTACCAAAGCGCACACACTCGCGATCCAAACGAACGCCTGCCCATCCGCACGCACAAACGCGAGCGGAAGGGGAAAACGGCAATGCACGCATCGTAAGCAATCAACGGAGATTGTGGGGTTTTGCCGTGTTGAGTACCCCTACACGTGGTTGCAAAGGCTGACGTCGCAGACGTTCGTTACCTCCAGTGCTAGCGCACTGCAGCGGCAGAATAGGCGCACTTGTTGTTGGTGCTGAGTAGATGGGCGCATGCGGCCAACGACGACGCGTAGACAACAATCGACGAAGAAAGCAGAGCATGACCACCTCAGATCATCAGTAGACCGAGAATGCAGAGAGAGAGAGAGGATGGCATGGGACACTTACTTCATGGACATCACGGAACCACATAAACCCAGCAACAGCCAATCCCAAGTGTTCATAAGACGGTACTGGTAAGCTGACAAGCATCGATGGCAAAGATTTCTGCAACACCATGCTCTCGAGCCTCCTAGGGTGCTCATTACGATTCTGGAAGCATGCAACAGAACACAGCTTGAATATCTAACCTTGCATCGATTCACGCATGCATGCATGTTTGGATTTGCCTACTACGGTTGGTCTACGCCAGGAAGACAAGCCATGAGGGCTTTGGTTTTAATCTAGGAGCTAGGTCAACCCTTTCCTAATACTTGCGGCAGTTTGGGCATGCCCTGCTCGTCCGTCGAGCGTTTTCATGTCGCCCGCTAGTGGGTAAATATATGTGTCCGTTTCATCGTGCCTCACAGATCGATCGGTTCCTGCCAGCCGGTGAAACCTTCACATCTCTGCAAGTCGGGTACTTAACGATGTATGGTTCTGGCCGCCGAAACTCTACCGTCGCAGGACAGCTGCACCCAGAAATTGCTGGAAGCCAGATTCGTGAAATCGATGTCTCTAAGATTGCGGCGGAATATTGACATGCCAAGCTGAACCGCGGTATTGTGGGGTTCACGTCGCTTGGCGAGGATTCGTTCGGCCATTGAGTGTGGCTCGGGACGGTTTAACGGCCATGGTTGCCGCGAATACGTGTACAGTTAATTAAGGTGTGATGCGTCACGAGTCCTTGATGGAGAGCCCTGGCTCTTGCCCCGCTCGCAATACTTTTCCGGAAGGCAACGTGTGCCGCAGCCACACCTCCATTGGCCCCACCGTCAGGACAACGCCCGCAACAAAATCTGCTTCGTGCATACGCAGAGGGGCCGATAGGGGCGGGGGAGGGAGGGAGGGGGCAGGCCATCCGGCGGGGGCGCGTCAGCTAGGAATATTTGAAAGGGGCGCTTATCTCTCTAGTACGGGTATTGCATATCCCGGCATGGCCCATACGAGGAGGGAAGCGCTTGCGATGAGACATCATTGATCGTTCAGTAGGATGCTCGCAGCGGCGGTATTCCGTCGGAGAGTGCCCTAGAAAGCCCATACATATTTAGCTCCTACCCTGGCATCTCTGCTTTCATTCGAAGTATCAATTTCCCTCGCAAGTCGATATGGTGCTGCAAAGAGGAAATTAATAATCGTCACTTCGTGACTGCGGTCAAAGCCCTCAGAGTCCACATGCGTTGAAAATGATTTGATTCGACATCCAACACATCGGACACAGTTCCCGAAAACGCAACACACCTACACGCGTGCTACGTCGAGGAATATCCGCCCACGAGTAACACGCCACACAGAACCCAGTCCCCCTCCCCACAATCAACCACCTTCATATGGTACACACCGGTCGCACTCCAAGCACTCACACAACGCGAACACGCGAGCACGTAATTCCATCCCGTCATTCGTGAGGTCAGTGTACCCGGGCATCAACAAGGGGAAGATCCACCAGGTCAGGTGGCCGAGAAGGCGCTGCATGTGCACCGAGTATCCCATTGCCACGTGTCGTAGCATCCAGACCCTAAAGTTGGTT